CTTATTCTCTCTCTCAAATGAATAAATAAAATCTTTAAAAAAAAATAAAAAATTAGACCAGTTTTGCCATCGAGGTACCCTTAAAACAGTAGGATTTGGGGGTGTGTGTATTGGCATTATCTGGTGATATCCCAAGAGGTTAGACATTCTAAATGGTCATAATGTGAAACAGCTGTGATTATTAAAAGATCATTGTCATTCCGTTCACAAGTACCTCGTGGGCCCCTGGCTCCAGCTCTGTACGTGGCCTCATAAACTAGTACATTGAATCATCTCTGCTGTTTGTGGTAGATGTATCACATGGAGACAGACAGACGGACTCCAGCTTGATTTCTTTTTTAAAGATTTTTATTTATTTATTTCACAGAGAGAGACACAGCGAGAGAACACAAGCAGGGGGAGTGGGAGAGGGAGAAGCAGGCTTCCCGCCGAGCAGGGACCCCGATGCGGGGCTCGATCCCAGGATCCTGGGATCATGACCTGAGCTGAAGGCAGCCGCTTAACCAACTGAGCCACCCAGGCACCCCTCCAGCTTGATTTCAGCGAGAGGTGTCGCTCTGCCCTGTGTGACTTTTTTTTTTTTAAGATTTTATTTATTTATTTGAGAGAGAGAGAGAATGAGAGATAGAAAGCACGAGAGGGAAGAGGGTCAGAGGGAGAGGCAGACTCCCCGCCGAGCAGGGAGCCCAATACGGGACTCGATCCCGGGACTCCAGGATCATGACCTGAGCCGAAGGCAGTCGCTTAACCAACTGAGCCACCCAGGCGCCCCCCTGTGTGACTTTTTTATTGACCCTCCACACGGTATAGGGTCGAGTCCAAACAGAGCCTGTTGGTGGCCCCAAATCAGCAGTTCTCAACCAGGGGGCGACTTTCCCCTAGGGAGGCGTTTGGCAGGGGACATTTTTGTCCCAAGTTGGGGGCTGCCACTGGCATCTAGTGGGTAGAGGCAAGGATGCTGTCAGCATCCTCCAGTGCACAGGACGGCCGCTGCAACACAGAATTAGTGGTCTGAAATGTCCGTCGTGCCAAGGTTCGGGAAGCCTGTTCTGGGTGATGAGGTCGGACAAAGATGCTGATTATTTCTGCACCGTGAGGTCCTGAGTCATGTCCGTTTTGCTGCCTCTCCCCCGAACCCATGACCATTACATCTCGAACACCTATACCACTGTCTCTGGCACACGGTCGCTGCTCAGTAACGACTTGTGGAACATTGTTGATGGCAGCCCTCCCCTCTGGTGGGCGCTTTGCTATCACAGACCGTGCTGTCGTATACCTCCTAGACCTACATCTTTGTACCTATGTTTCTTATGGAATCCAAGAAGCGGAGTTGCTGTGTCAAAAAGCGTGTGCATTAAAAATTTTTTTAAGATTTATTTATTTATTTTAGAGAGAGCACACAAGTGGGAGGAGGGGCAGAGGGAGAGGGAGAGAGACTCTGAAGCAGACTGCCCACTGAGCGTGGAGCCCAATGAGCTCGATCCCATAACGCTGAGATCACGACCGGAGCAGAAATGAAGTGTCAGATGCTCAACCGACTGAGCCACCCTGGCTCCCCTAAGATTTTGCTAGATGTTAAAAAGTTGTTGAAGGTAAGCACCCCACTCCTAGGTATGTGTCCTGGAGGAACTCACACATATGCACACACGTCCATGAAGGTTCTGAGCACACCACAGGAGCACAGGGTTGGAGACACTTGTCCATCAACAGGAGAGTGTTTTCTTACTGCAGA